ATTAAAATAATTAATGTTACATATAACAATATAGCTAAAATGTACTAAAATTTAGATGGCTCTAACTGAAATTATGAAAATGGGAATATATAATTTTTTTATCAAGCTTTGAAATCAGTGCAAGGCAGGGTGAAGGTGGTACTAATTTAGTTAGGGACGTTGAGGTCTTTAGAAAGAGATAAGAACAGAAATGTAGCCTGCTTCTCAGGCCAAAGCTCCTGGACCTGCAAACAGGCCTCCTTCCCAGAAAGACAGGGGGTGCTCCAGCCTCCCCCCAGTGCACGGCCCCCGGGGTGCACGTCTGGTGCTCCCACCTCCAGAGCCACACAATTAAGGGGCCTCCCTTGGGCTGTCGCTGCAAAACCTGGGACACTGGACTGTGTAAAAGCTCCCCTCTCGAAAATACTGAGACTGTGGAGTATGGCAGAAGGAGATCCCAAAGATGGCACCCACCAAGGAAGGAAGAAAGGTCCAGAAAAAAAAAAATCTTGGAAAATGGTGCCTGCCAGCAGCTCTATCTCTGAGAATCCCAACAGGCCCTTGCCCCAACAGGGATGCTTTCAAATTAGCAGATGAGGGGGGCCTGGGTGGCTGGGTGGTGGGATCAGGCCCCAGGATGGGCTCTGTGCTCAGCATGGAGTCTGCTTGACATTCTCTCTCAGCTTCCCCTCTGCTGCCTACCACCCTGCTTAGGCATGCTCGTGCTCTCTCTCTCTCTCTCTCTCTCTCTCTCTCTCTCTCAAATAAATAAATAAATAAAAGCTTTAAAAAATAAAATAAATAAAATTAGCAGATGGATCTCTTTCACCTAAATTCTGGGTACTTTGCAAAGAGCTGCTTCTGCTCTGGGCCCTGGGGCCTGGGGCCTGGGGCCTGAGTCTGCGGGAGCCCATCCAAAGACCGTTCCTCAGTTCCTTTCTGGTCTCAGGGACTCGAGCCCTGTTCATTTGCGGAGCCAGATGCAGGTGTTAAAAGTTGAGGGTGCCTGATGTGGGCCACAAACTCTGCACTCCTCGGGGAGAAACTATGAGTTTGTGGGATCCCTGATTATTGTTGGGTCACTGTGGGAGGGAGGGAGGTGCAAGGTGAGACTGTGGCTCAGCCTCTGCTACCTGCTTCGTTGTCTTCATGGGCCCAGGGGAAGGAGTCACTCGGCTTGCTTTCAGGTCTCTTCCAGAGGAAATTGCTCCTTTGTAATTGGAGCCTCCCTGCGTCTACACAGCGGAAAGGAGTTGAGGATCTTCCTGCGTGGCCCCCTTGAACTGCCTCCCATGACTTATTATACCTCTGCATGACTGCTCGACTCTGGCAACTACCAGTCTGTTCTGAACACCTGTGAGCTTGGGGTTAGCGTTCATTTTTAAGATTCTACATATAAGCGAGGTCATACGTGTATGTGAGATAGTTTTGACCTTTCTCTGACTTATTTCACTTAGCAGAACGCCCTCAAGATCCATCTATTTTCTCACAAATAGCAAAATGTCCTTCTTTTTATGGCTGATTAATATTCCTATATATACATATACACACATATATGTACATAAACATATATATATGTATATGCATCACATTTCTTTGTCCACTCATGCATCAGTGGACACTTGGGTTGTCTCCATGCCTCAGCTATTATAATACTGTAATGAACCTGGCAGCAGGGTGAGGGGGGGCAGTTCAGATATCTTTCCAAGTTCATGTGTTTCCTTTGGGTAAACACCCAGAAGTGGAACTGCTGTATCATAGGGTAGCTCTATTTTTAATATTTTGAAGAACCTCCACACTGGTTTCCACGGTGGCTGCACCAGTCTGCATTCCCACCAACAGTGCACAAGCGTTCTCTTTTCTCCACCTCCTCACTCACACTTGTTATCGTTGTATTTTTTATTCTAGCCCCTCTAACAGCTGTAAGGTGGCATCTCATGGTTTTGATTTGCATTTATCTGATACTTAGTGATGTTGAGCTCCTTTTAATGTACCTATTGACCATCTGTATGTCACTCTTGATCTTTCTGAGACAAGGATTAACAGATACTATGAATGTGTGGTGGAAAAGAAATACAGGCTTCAGGATGTAAGGAGGGCAAAAAAAAATGTCATTGGTAAAGAAAATGGAAAACAGTCTGCGAGATTTGGACATTTGTCAGTATCAGTGCAGGAATTAGATAATCTTCACTAAGGTTCATATGTACTCACTCTGTGGTTAGAATTTAAAATAACAAACTTGAGCTGCAATACTGGCAAAGGATCAGAATCTGATCCTCAGTGATACACATTTAAAAGTGCAATTTTACAAGGTGGGTATCACATTCAGAGGTGACCAGTCTCTTAAAGAATGAATCACCCCAATTAGATTCTGCAGAGACTGATGCATTATTAACCTATACTCTGATTTATTAAATAATAATGAAGGAAAAAAATAATAATGAAGGCTATTCTTCTCTAAAATGTCATTAGATGAGAACAGAATCAGAATAAAAGGAGTTTTGAAAAACGTTTACCTAGGCCAGGGTTTTTCAAAAGGAGCAATTTTTTTCGGCAGTATCTAGAGATATTGTGGGCATCAGAGCTTTGGTGGCAGGGGGGTTCTGTGGTCATTTAGTGGGCAGAGGCAGGGATGCTGTTAAGCATCCTACAGTGCATGGGGTAGCTCCCCACAGCAAAGAATTATTTGACTCTAAATGTCAATGGTGCCAAGGTTCAGGAACACTAATCAGGTCTGTGGGAAAGCCCTAAGAACACTTCTCATCTTCACGTATGATGCCTTTTCCAGGTTCTCTCAAAAATCGTCTCCTTTCCCAAAGATCTTAAGCAGAGTTGAGTTTTTTTTCACTCGTTACATCTCTTTATTGCCTCCCTAAGATTATATCCTATTTATTTTACTTCAAACAGAGTATTTAAATCTTCTCAGCCACATATTCACAGGAAATTTTTGGTCTATTTCTTCAAGTAGTTAATATTCATCCATTTTTTATTACTAGAAATGTCAACCTTAACTTATGACTTCAGCTTACTTCGCTTCCATATATATATGTAGGTATGAATGTACATAAACTATTTCAAAGAAGAAAAAGAAATTTACTGGATCTATTGTAATATTACTTATGCTGAGTAAAAGAAATTATAGTTCTGGTTATCATACTGCATTAACACAAGAACCCTTTCATAAAAGACTTCAGGCTCACAGTTGGTAGGCTGCTTTGCACCCCACAACAATCATTTTATTAAATAAACACCTTCTAACCTTCTTCAAATATTTTCCATCAAATAACTTGCAAACCTGGGTATGCTATCTTAGTTGTGAAACTCACCTTGAAGAAAATTCCCTTTTCAGTGATTTATATTTAAAATAGAAAGTGAAAAGAATTTTCAATTCAATAGCTTCTCAGAATACAATCTTTATTTTGATTAGATAAACATTATTTTTGGACTGAGTCTCAGTCGATCCGCAGGTCCACAGGGTAGGTCAGTCCACAGGTCAATGGGCCACGGGACAGATTCTTGCATCCATGTTTATAATGTCACCTCTCACAGAGGTCATTTCAACAGCATCAGCCACATGATTTGCAGGGCTCAGTGCAATAGGAAAATATGGAAAATCCGTGTTAAAAAAAAAGTATTAACAATGTGGAATAGGAAATAATTTCACCAAGCAGAGAATTAAACCAAGTGCAGGGTCCTTCTGAGATATGAACCCTGTTTTTGGACTTATACCCCCATGAAACTAGTCCTGTCTTTCCTATTGTATCATTTACACTCAGTCTAGCTGTTGGTTTAAAAAAAAAAAAAAAGCTATTTTTTGTGATCAGATTTAATTTTCTCAAAAGCCATAGTACATGCACAATCAGTTCAATTATATCAAGTGAAAAACAAAAAATCAAGATTTGCTGTAAGTTATCAACCAGCAACTATTAATTCAACTAAGTTATATTCAGAATAGGGAACACGGGTGCAGTGTGTCTGCTGTGTCCGGCACTGGAGATTTAAAATGACTCTTCATGCGGATGGGCGGTGGGTGCAATAGGTGCACCGATGAGCACCCAGTAGTACATGAGCCGTTGCATCACACTGCCCATCTGAAAGGAACGTAACCCGAGGTTAGTAAATACACCGGAATTAAAATAAAATAAAAGATAAAAATGATGCCTGTTCAACTCCAGCTACTAAGCAGTTGACCTGCAAAGATTCGGGGGATGGAGGCTCCCAGACGCGGTAATATAATCTTACTTTAAAATACTTTCAAAACCTGCTTGGAAAGGTTTTCCACCAGTTAAGTGGGGCCAGACCTTGACCCCTGGGGAGAGGGTGGGCGGCGCTGGCTGGTCCCGGGCCAGGAATCCCTCACCAGCCACCAAGGGAGGAGAGGCCCGTCACCCTAGGGCGGAGGAGCAGGTGCAGAGGGAAGGTGGGGACCGTGGACAAGACAGAGCGGGGCCGAGAAGGGGCGGGGCAGTGACCGGGCGGGGCCAATGAGAAGGGCGGGGCCGAGGCTGGGCGGGGCCGATGAGCAGAAGGGGCGGGGCAGTGACCGGCCGGGGCCAATGAGAAGGGGCAGGACCGAGGCTGGGCGGGGCCGAGGAGCAGAGGGGAGGGGCCGCGGCTGGACGGGGCCAAGGGGCGGGGCCAAAGGAGCAGAAGGGGCGGGGCCGTGACTGGGGGGGTGGCAAGGAGCCTAGAGGACTCACGAAGTACGACCCGGAAGTGAGCGTGCCCTAAAGTGGGCGAGTTCTATCGGCGCGGGGTCGAGGCTGGGCGGTGCCAAGGAGCCGAAGGGACCCACGAACTACGACCCGGAAGTGGGCGTGCTCTGAAGAGGGCGGGGTCTGTCTGCCCTGAAGTGGGCGGGGGCGAGGGTCGAGGCTGGACCCCTGGTGCCCATCCGGAAGTGGGCGTGCCCCGAGGTGGGCGGGGTCTGCGGGGGCGGGGCCGAGGCTGGGCGGTGCTAAGCCCCCCGCCAGGGACTCCGGAAGTACTGCCCGGAAGTGGGCGTGTCCGGACGTGGGCGGGGCCTGCGGGGGCGGGGTCGAGGCAGGGAGACGCTAGTGTCGGCGCCAGCGGCCATAACGCGGCCCCGCCTTTCCGCTCCCGCTGCAGCCCCGGTTCCCGCCGCCGCCGCCGCCGCGGATCCCGAGGTAAGGCCGCGTGTGGGGAGGGTCCTGACTGTCCTCGGTGTGTCCGCGGCTGCGCCGGGGCCCGCGGCGAGTCCAGCAGGCCTGACCCCGGGCGCTGCGGCCGGGACCCCTGTCCTTACCGGAACTTCCCCATAGGACTGCCCCTGCGGCCTCCGAGCCGCTGCATTTACTTGGCTCCTTGCACTTGGCGTAGCTCCTCCCCTCGGCCGTCTGGGCCGGTCGCCGCCGCGCGAAGTCCACGCGTACCCGGTGCGCTGAGACCCAGACCGCAAAGCCGCCGCCGCCTGGGCAGGCGCGCCTGGGGGGGTCGCTCCCGGATGACGTCACCCGGGAGGCGGCGCCCGCGCCCACCTGGGGGCCCCGAGGTCGCTGGAATAGGAAGAAGCAGCGTCGGTTGGTGCGCGCCGTGGCCCGCGGGTGACAGTCAGTGGCGGGATTGAGGCCGCTCATCTCGGGGGCGGGCCTGTGGGCTGGAGCGGACGGCATCCCCGTGTTATAGGCGGGGAAGCGCGTCCTAGGAACATCACCTGGCTTGGCGGCGGCGGCGGCGGCGGCGGCAGCGGCAGCAGCAGCACGGGGTGGAGCCGGAGGGTGTGGCCCCAGAACCAGCTCTGAACCTGCCACACCTCGGCGTTGGCGAAGGCCGCCCCGTGGGGACCCCCCCCCCCCCGCCGGCTGTGCCTCGGTTCTGCGTAGTCGGGGCTGACAGACTGGACATGAGACGACCTTCGGCCCGAAAAACAACCTGGGACCATTGAAGACAATTTTGGGAGCCAAGCTAAGGTGTTTGGGATTCGTGGATGCTCAGTGTCCCGCCCCCCCCCCCCCCCCCCGTGTCTCACACAATTCTTGTGTATAATTAGCGCCTGCCTTTGGCCCAGGGCGCGATCCTGGAGACCCGGGATCGAATCCCATGTCGGGCTCCCGGTGTATGGAGCCTGCTTCTCCCTCTGCCTGTGTCTCTGCCTCTCTCTCACTGTGTGCCTATCATAAATAAATAAAAATAAAATAAATAAAAAAAATAAAAATCTCAAAAATGGTTAGGATGGTAAATTCTATGTCATATGTTTTATCACAGTTTTTAAAAATCAAATTAAAAAAATCAAAATGACTAACAGTTGCCCGGAGGCATGTCAGGCCCAACCATGGAATGTGTCTAGGTATCCGTGAAGTGGTAAGTCACCTGTATTAAAGCCCTAGGCTCCCGTGCAGGATTGATTTTAGTGGGACATACAAGAAGACAAAGTAGGAGCCTAAGTTTTAATTTCTTGTGTATAATTAGGATGGTGGCAGTGGAAATTTAAAGCAGGGTGGTAACTTTAAGACATTTCACACATAGATTGGGCAAGACAGGCATGAATGAAAAGAGAGACAGGAAAAGGAAGGAAAAAAATGGTTTGAGGGTGAGAGATAGACAATTTCATTTATTTTTTAAAGATGTTATTTATTCATGAGACAAAGAGAGAGAGGCAGAGACACAGGTAGAGGGAGAAGCAGGCCCCACACAGGGAGCCCAACGTGGGACTCGATCCCGGGTCTCCAGGATCACATCCTGGGCTGAAGGCGGCGCTAAACTGCTGAGCCACCCAGGGATCCCCGACACTTAATTTTAAATTGATTATTTATTTATTTATTTATTTAGGGAATGGGGAGAGTGGGGAAGGGCAGACAGAGCGAGACAATCCTAAGCAGGCTTCATGCCCAGTGCAGAGCTCCATGTGGGGCTCAATCTCAAAACCCTGAGTTCATGACCTGAGCAGAGATCAAGAGTCAGGGCATTCACCTCACTGAGCCACCCAGGTGCCCCAACACTTACTTTTATTTATTTTTTTCTAAAGATTTTATTTATTCATGAGACGTAGAGAGAGAGAGAGGCAGAGACACAGCAGAGGGAGAAGCAGGCTCCATGCAGGGAGCCCGACGTGGGACTCCATCCCGGGTCACCAGGATCACACACACCCTGGGCCGAAGGTGGGGCTAAACCGCTGGGCCACCTGGGCTGCCCCTAACTAACACTTACTTTTAGTTGTGGTTAGTTTTACTAACTGGTGGCACATCTTGGTAGAAGGGTCCAACGGGACATTTAAATTCTGGCACTAATACAGGAGAATGGGCCTAGAGATGCAGATTTAGATTCGTTCACCTAGAAAATGTGATAGAAACATAAGGATTGGGAGTAAAGGGAAAGAGTGCCTGCGAAGAGAAAAGGAAAGGGAGATGGGAGAAGGGGGAGTGGACCCGGAGTTTTCTCTGAAGAGAGGATTTAAACAGAGACCTGACGTCTGCAGTGCCATTATCCCGTGATGCTGGGGAGGCCTGTGTAGGTCCTAAGAGCCAGTGGAGCGGGACACACTGAGGGTGAGGCAGTGGATCAAAGTCCGAGGAGTCTGAACGAATGGGAACAGAAACTCAGGAAGAGGTAGAGACGTTGAGACTCATCCAAAGAAGAAAAAAATGGGTAAACCTAAAGAACACTCATTTCTGGAGGAGCATGGCAGTTAGCCTGAATAAAGAAAGAAAGTAAATAAGAGATTTGGCAAATTGACCTTTTGGGGGAACAGGTGTTTGGTGAATAAAGATTTCTCTTTGATAGTTTTTCCCTGACTGGCCTGGCCGAGCCTTTGAGAAAACCACTTCCCTCTCTGAAGATGAGGTTCATATCATTGACTTTGTTGTGGAAGCGTTTGTAACACCCCCTGCACCTGCTGGCATTCTGAAATCATCTGTTTTTGTTTGGAGCTTTTCTTGGGAGACAGGTTTGTTTTGGGTTTTTTTGCTCAGTCTACGCCACCCTTTCCTTCCATTTCTCCCACAAAATATGTCCGAGAACCTAAATAAGACGTCGGCAGACAAGTGAAAACGATGGGCCTCCACGTACTGCATACGCTTCCGTTTACTTCTCACTGTGTCGCAGTCCCTTCGGCCTCCTTCACAAGCCGGGTCATGTTTCTGAGCAGTTCATCCTTTCTGGCCTGTCAGCCCCGCAGCCCTGAAGTCCTCTTCCCTTCCCTCCTTGTCCCTATGTGACATGTTCCATCTACACCTCCGTGCCGGACAGGTGTCTGCTCTGTAGCTTTCTCTTCCCTTCTTGCCAGGTTCCTGGTTTCTTTACTCTCAGCGGTTGATTATATCTCAGGCGAGCAAATTACACTTTAAAACATTTTTATCGGGCAGCCTGGGTGGCTCAGCGGGTTTAGCGCTGCCTTCGGCCCAGGGCGTGATCCTGGAGATCCAGGATTGAGTCCCACATCGGGCTCCCTGCCTGGAGCCTGCTTCTCTCTCTCGGTGTATTTCAAATGAATAAATAAAGAAAATCTTAAAAAAAAAAAAAAAAAACGTTCTTATCTACTTGATTAAAAAGGAAAAAACAAAAACCAAACCCACAACTTTCTTCATAGAAATCTTAAGTCTAGCAGAAGATTTTGAACATCCTGCCTTGTGGCAAAATAGGTCTGAAGGCCATTAGATTAGGGTAGAGGCGATGGGGTCTGGTCCCATGCTGTCATACCCAGGGTAGAGAGTCCTCTGCCTTGAGAGAAGAAAATGTCAGCTCAGAATGTGTGGTGCCCTGCACATGTCTATATAACCTCTGTTGTGAAAAGTATAAACCTCCTGTTTACAAACCATTTGTTTTTTTTTTTTTGTTTTTGTTTTTCCAGGATCACCTGTCCATCCTTTAGTAGCAGGCAAAAAAGCAAGTAGCAATTGGTCAGGTAATAAACTTAAGTTTTATTTATTTATATATTTTTTTAAGATTTTATTTATTCATGATAGACAGAGGCAGAGACACAGGCAGAGGGAGAAACAGGCTCCATGCCGGGAGCCCGACGTGGGACTCGATCCCAGGACTCCAGGATCGTGCCCTGGGCCGAAGGCAGGCGCCAAACCGCTGAGCCACCCAAGGATCCCCAAGTTTTATTTCTTCTGTGTTACTTTGAAAGTTGGATGAGAAAGCTAATAACTTAGTTTAAAATGTTATTTTTCACATAGAAAAGTTTTCATGAACAATGAAGTCATCTAGTTGAATAGTTCATATATCACAGTGTATTTAGTTCATGGCTTGTGTCATACTTTTTATTGAGGGTAAATTTTCTCTTGATTTGTGATCGAAGGTAATTTCTAAAATGGGTGGTTAGAGGGGAAAAAATTTCAAAAGCTTTTGTTTTAGTCAGTTCATTCTATCAAGTGAAAACATATCATTTTAACTGAATTCTCTCTGACCAAATGGGAAGTACTGAGTTTGAATTTTAAGTAAAGAATATTAAATAAGCAAAAGAAATAAGACTAGTAGTGCTTTACTTTTAAAGTATAGGAAAAAAAAGATGAAGGACAAACTGATTTTTAAAACTTTCACGTAATTGGCAGTCAAAAGTTAATAAAAGAATTATTCCTTAATTCAACTAATAATTATTAGTTATCTCTTATGTACTAGATATATGCTCAGTATAACATGGTTTTGGAAAGCAAACGAAACCCTTACTAAATTTAAGAAAATAGGAAGGACATCCTTATAATTCAAAAAGATTGTATGCCTTGGTCTCATGTATATATGCTAAAATTATACATCTGTGTTAGTATATTATTAAGCTCAGATCATGAACAAGAATAGCTGAAGTTAATAATAATTTTTTTTTAAGATTTTATTCATTTATTCATGAGAGACACAGAGAGAGAGAGAGGCAGAGACACAAGCAGAGGGAGAAGCAGGCTCCATGCAGGGAGCCCGACGTGGGACTCGATCTTGGGTCTCCAGGATCACGCCCTGGGCCAAAGGCAGTGCTAAACCGCTGAGCCACCTGGGCTGCCCAATAATCAAATAATTAATAACATTTGTGAGCAGATTGTTAAGAATTGATCTCTTACAGATTAAATACATAAACCTGTGAGTAGAAGGTAATTTCTCTGTAATTTTGAGCCCTGATCCTACAAATTTAGTCAATCTCAGCTTCTGAAAAAGAGAGTATGTAAAGATCCTCCAAAGAAGCAGGAGACCAGAATAGCAAAGAGTAGAGGGGCTCTGATGTCAGGCTCCCTGTTCACATCCCAGCTTTCCAATGCAAAGATAAGTATTTGGATTTACTGAGGAAATTACTAAAAGGTAGGATTGAAACTAATCTTATTTAGAATTTTGCAAAGACATTTCCAAGATTAACTTTTTAAAGATTATTGTTTTAGAGATATATATATATATTTTAAGAGCAACCCTAAAGCTCCAACTCTGATCAACGTACTGTAGACCTGAGAATGTCGGTAGAAATCATATGGAACATTTTCACTGAGAAGACCACTAGAGCAGTAGTACCTGTTCCAAGAATCTGAGGATTTTTTTATTTAGCACATACAGCTAACTGACTTAAAATAAGGTGGAACATAAAATAAGGTGGAGAAGGGAATTCTTCCATTAGAGATACACATCAGGAGCAGTCTGGTTCCTCCTTGCTAAACAGGCACTTCTAGTAAGGACGGTTTACTGACCTTTTTTTTTTTTTTGTAGTATTAAAAATTAATAACGTGGCATTTTAACATTTAAGATTATTACATTAACATTTAAGTGTTAAATTATTATTTAAAAGATTTGTCTGCGAGAAAAGAATTACCAGACTTCAAAATCTCCCATCGATAAGCTGCACAGTCAATTCCCTTATGTTTTAAAAGGAGAACTGTTGATCTAAAAGTTGTGCATCACTTTCTCAGACAAACCCTAGGACGAGGGAGGAATTTGGTCTGAGTGAGCATATAACAAAGTGGCGATCATGCTGTAAGTGCTCAATAAATGTTACCGCTTATTGTTATCAAAATCGTTATTGTGACATCATTTTCCTCCCATTTTAAAATGAACCATAATCTGTAAGACCACTTCTTTGATTCCTTTGTGATAATTGACAGGTAAACTATTAACAATTTTTTATCTTCTAAGCTAGGGTAGTTAATTAGTAGCTTGCTTATATTCTCCTTCTTTCTGAAAAGAATTTGGGGCAGTCCACAAAAAGAAAACAACAAAAAAAAGCTTATTAACCAACTGGGTAAATTAGTCCTGACGTACCGAAGTACTAAGTTTCCTAAAGTGCGCAACAAGTGCGTACCTGAAACTGAGTCCGTTTCTTAATGTTATCAGAGAAAAGTAGTGTGTGAAAAACTATGCTAGGTGGAAAACAATTGTTTGATAATTTATCTGAAAACAGTTTTGTTTAAATTTTTCAGGAACAAGTGTTCTGAAAATTAATGTTGATCTTTAATAACGGGAAGAATGGCATTGAAGCAGATTTCCAGCAACAAGTGCTTTGGAGGATTGCAGAAAGTTTTTGAGCATGACAGGTAACTACCAAGAATACAGTTTTAGTACCTCTCATTCTGCTTCTATCTATGTTTTTTTTTTTTTTTTTTTTGCTTCTATCCATTTGGTTCCTTTAATCAGCCCACGAGAGATCATTGTTGCACAAATTACTATTTACATGGGAAAATACCTGTGGCTTTTATAAAAATTTCCTTATTTGTGATATTAGTGATTATAGTAAGATATTAGAGACAGAGAACAAATTAAAATGTGGTACATTTCAGTGCCCATGAACAAACATGTAACTTAAGATCTTTAAAATTCATTTTTTATAAAAGCTGATGTTATTTTATGCATCTCTAGAAACAAAAACAATTTCTCTTTTAGTAATATTAGTGCTACATTGAGGGTATTACATTTATTCTTTTTTTTGTTAAAAAAAAAAAAAAAACTTTTTCCAATCCAGAAGACAGTTTGGGATTTTTTTTTTTTTAAGGTTTTATTTACTTATTCATGAGAGACAGAGAGAGGCGAGGGATGCGCAGAGACACAGGCAGAGGGAGAAGCAGGCTCCATGCAGGAAGCCTGATGTGGGACTCGATCCCGGGCCTCCAGGATCAGGCCCTGGGCTGAAGGCGGCGCTAAACCGCTGAGCCACTGGGGCTGCCCCTACATTTATTCTTTTAATTTATTTCCGCCCCCTCCCCATGACTTCTATGCCATGCACAGCAAAGACTCAGCTTGGTTAATAGATCAGTATGCTAAATTGGCCCCATCATTTCTTTAAGGGCCAAGGTATTTTCCTTGGAGTCACTTCTTTTGGACATTAAATCACTTATTTTTGTGTTTCTGTCTTAACCAGTGAGAGGCATTGATTTTTTTGTTGTTGTGGCTGTTAAAATTACAGTGTTGAACTGAACTGCAAAATGAAATTTGCTATCTACTTACCACCAAAGGCAGAAACTGAAAAATGCCCTGCACTGTATTGGCTGTCTGGTAAGTGTTATTCATTTGCATTTTAGAAAAGAGTTTCTTTTTAACTGCCTTATCTTACTCTTTTATCCTAACAGTGTGCTTGCTGAGCCATTTTATAAAAGACTTTAGGAGCCTCTTTCTACTCTGACTTTCTCCTGAGAATGACTTCAGACCTAATGAGTTACATTTGTTTCACTTCTTTTAAAATTAAATCAAGTAATTTAACAGAGAATGTACAATTCTGGACTCAATGGCAAGAGCTTAGAAAAGTTACTTAATTTTGTACCTACCTAAGAATCTCTGAAATTTGTAGAGATTTTGCCACTCAAATAGAACAATATTAGGTAACCCACAATACACTAATTAGAAACTACAGACAAGTAACTCCTTAGAGTCTTCTCTAAAATGTTTTAGTTGGACTCCCTTCAATCCTCTCTGGCAATAGTCTGGAAAATCACAAAGGAATATTAGAGCTGTTTAATCAGTGGTGAATATTAAAGACTCTCGAATGGATTATGAGAGAGTAAGGTTTTGCTACCAGTAGTTTGAAGCTGTGTGCTAATTCTTTCACAAGCTGTTGTTGGTATTTTATCTTTAGAAGCAAACATAAGGAGAGACTTGATAGAAACCAAATTATGTCATAGAGTGCTATTTTTGTCATTTTAAAATTGTTTATAACTTTGCTTTTAATAAATTCCCTGTTATAGATAAATGTTTTACTGAGGATAAGCCCCAAATACTAATCCTTTAAAATGAAAATGAGACTTTTCATTTTAAAAGGTAAGCATTTTTTAAAATAAAAGGTAAAAATGAAGTGCCTGTCTGATTGTAACTCAACAACCCATTTTTGTGATTGAAAAAAACAAACTGATTTTGCTAGAAGAGCGTTGGGTATTGCCAAAAGCAGCAAGAACAAAGTTGCATGCTTGTTTTAGGAGCATAGTATTGTATAGCTGAAGATGACCTTAGAAATCATGTAATCTGCAGAATAGTTAACTCTTTCATAGGCCCAGAGTAGTTATATATTGACCAAGATCATATAACAGAGTCAACAAGTTTTCTGACTCATAACCCAGCGCTATATTTAGTCTTTTTCCTATTGTTTTTGCATTTTGTTTCTGAGGACAGCTGCTGGAGTCCTGTCTCTTGGCTATAAGAACTATAACATAGATCAGAGGTGCCAGGGTATTGTGTAAGCGGTACTATAATAATAAGGCCATAAATTCCTAGCCAAAATTAGAATCTATCAAGACATACCATCTGAGCTTTAGAAGAATTAAAAAATAGAATTTGTGTTTGTGTACATCATATGATAGGACAGTTTTCTTAGTGAGAGGTTGAAGAACAGATAGACCTTGGAAATGAAGCCTTGATTTTCTTTAAAGAATTAAGATTGTCGGGATCCCTGGGTGGCGCAGCAGTTTGGCGCCTGCCTTTGGCCCAGGGCGCGATCCTGGAGACCCGGGATCGAATCCCACATCGGGCTCCCGGTGCATGGAGCCTGCTTCTCCCTCTACCTGTGTCTCTGCCTCTCTCTCTCTCTCTGTGACTATCATAAATAAATAAAAAAAAATTAAAAAAAATTAAAAAAAAAAGAAGATTGACTATACACTGGAGAAATAATGGCAAAAGAATTTCAGTGTATTTATTTCTCAGTAAATTGAAGGAAAATAATGGCAGACATACATCAGTTATCATATTTCTGAAATCACTAAATTAACTGAAAGTAAAACATCCAAACTGAAATTCTAAAAGATGGTCCTGATGAAGTCATTTGTGTGCCTCCCAAGTCAAGGCGACCAGCGGAATAGCCCTTCATTAGCCGTATACTCAAGAGAATATATGGGCCCGTATGAAAGCTTGCACACAGATATCTATATATTACATATATTATTTATAATAGCAAAAAAGTAGAAACAAACCAAAGGTCCATCAACTAATGAAATAAGTAAAGTGTAGTATAGTGGAGTATTGCTTAACAACAAAAGTATTGAAGTCCCCATAGATGTGCGACATACAACATGGATGAACGTTGAAACCGTGCTAAGTGAAAGAAGATGTTTACAAGAGACTACGTATTGTTAAATTCCATGTATGTGAAATGTCCAGACTAAACAAATTCATAAAGACAGAAAATGATTACCTGGGGCTGAGGAGGCAGGGATTAGGAGAAAATAGGAAGTGACTGCTAATGGGTAGGGGTTTTCTTTTGGGGATGGTAGAAATATTCTAAAAGTAGAGAGTGGTGGTATTCCATAATTGTAAATATACCAACAGTCACTGAGCTGTACACTTCAGGTGGCTGAATTGTATGGCGTCTGAATTGTAGCTCAATAAAGCTGTTACCCAGAGCACCTGGGAAGTTCAGTCGGTTAAGCAGCCAACTCAGTTTCAGCTCAGGTCATGATCTCACGACTGGGATCGAGCCCTGTATTGGGCTCTGTGCTCAGTGTAGAGTCTCCTTCAGACTCTTTCTCCACCTCCCTCTCCCTCTCATTCTGTCTCAAATAAATAAAAATCTTTAAGTAAATAAATAAAGCTGTTAACCAAAAAAAAACCCCAAAACTCTTCATATAAAATAAGTATAGTTCAACAAGTGTATATTAGTAACCTTCTTTATATTCTTGAGAGTAATTCTGCTAATAGAATTATCTTCATTTCTATGAGTCTACAGTTTATATCCTAATACCTTAATAAAGGAATTAGTGTCGTAACTAGAAAGAAAACAGATTTTTCTCTGGTCTCTAAACATTTACATTTCCCAAGTGTAAAAGAACTGTACACACTGTGTCTGAGACACAATTCAAGGCTTTTTACATGTTATCACCTTGAATCCTCACAGCCACGTTATGAGATAATCGTAAGCAATATTATCCCCATTTTTCAAATGAAAGAACTGAGGCTCGGAATATTCAAGTTACTTGCCTGATTTTGGTGAGTCAGTAAGTGGCTGAGTGACATCTTGAGAATGAGATTCCGTCTGAAGTCCAAAACCCATTCTTTTTACACTCTTAACCTTGCCTCTGAACACATTTACATTAAGGTTGCCAAGACTGTTGACCTTTTAGCAGTATTTGGGGTAGTTGTGGCTCCCGTACCTCTGGAAGGTGTACTGTACGGAACATAGTAGACAAACAAGGACTTTGTCCTCCGGCCGTGCCTAGTGAAAGCATGTTTGTCCTAACAGTTTATCCAATGATCCTTGTGTGAACTCCCATAACACTTTATGCAGTGATTCTTGTAACTTTGTATCTTGTAATCATTTACTAATTTAATCTTCATTAACAGCCATTTCAAATAAGTCCCTGCTGGCTGTTAGGGGATAAATAGAAACTATAAAGTTCATACTGCATCCTGTATACGAGTCCGTTTTGTGATGTTGCTAATTATCAGATGTAGTAGGATATTTAGCATTGGCCACTGGAAAGGGGGTTTTGGGTTAGGTGATATTTAGCTCAGCCATCTCTTGCCAGTTTATTCTTGGACCTTCTCCTATAATAGAATTCAGTCATCTATCATACAAAAGCCTATAGCTAGGAAAAATGGCCTAAATAGTTGGAAAAACAGGGGCTAAAATTTAAGGAAGGTATATGGTGACCATTTCTACCTTAAATCAGCAAGGAATACAAAGACGGTCAGGCTCAATTTTGTTGCCGAGGGCCACTCGTATTTTTAAAAAATCAAGTTATTTAAAGTATTATGACTGAATGTGAATATTTATGTTTTGATGCAGGAATAGTAACATGTTTAATTAGCATGTTTGACAACACCCCACTGGGGTTGTGATAAAACATTTGATTTCTATACCATATTGCCAATCTACGGTTTGGAAAATTCCAGATTCTCAAGGATTTGAATAATTGATACTTTAGTGAGTGACTTTGAAAGGACAGCTGTGGGAGCGTTTAGCCTAAGATGGTTTTTAGATAAATACTATTGTAAATTTTATGAGAAAGGGAACTTTATTGTCTTCTTTAGGATTATTCCTAAAAAAAATTTTTTTTAATAATACCAAGTGAGCTTGTTTTCTTACATTATAAAAGGATTAAATCTTACAAACCACCGACAGGGTAGCATGAGGTGACACTATTTCTGATCCTCAGGTTTGACTTGTACAGAACAAAATTTTATATCAAAGTCTGGTTTTCATCAAGCTGCCTCAGAACATGGCCTTGTCGTCATTGCTCCGGATACCAGCCCTCGTAAGTGTTCTCATTCTGGAGATCCTTTATAAAAATATAAATCTTTCAGACTAAGTTATGAGATAAGTGGTATAATATAATATTGTTTTATTTTTTATTTATCTTTTATTTTTGCTGTTATCTCTTAATCTTTCAGATGATATCATGACTCTAAAATACTGTGCTATATATTTTTTCTCACTGTGAATTTTACTCATGACATCACTCTTATTAGAGGGGACTATTTTGTTATTTCCAGGTTGTAGAATAAGACACTTCAAAACAGACTGAGCAACTTTAATGTATATCATATTGGCGCTAGTGCCAAAATGCACAAAAATTTTTCTATTCCATAGGTAAACTATCTTGTCACATGAAAATTATGTCTTTTCTCATCTCTTTATCGATCATAGTTTAATATGTATTGATTTTAATATAAATAACTAAAATGCTTATATTAGAGAAATGCAACTATCCAATATTTGTGAACTCAGTCCATCAGTAAGTTAAAACTCATTTTGTGACCCTAAAAGTGTTAGGAAATGGGATTTATTAAATGGCGGCTAAAATTATGTGGAAGATGAATGGCTGGTCTTGGGAAGTAGTTTATTTCTTTTCACAGGACATAATAATGCACCAGAGCAAGACATGTCTCACTAGGAACGTAATAAAAAATTTAATTCTGAGCAGTATCAAAAATACTAAATGCCTAGAGATAAACTTTTAAAATATGAAGACATTTTTTAAAAGGAATGTAAAATTTGCTAATGATCATAAATGAAGACTTTCATAAATGGAAAAATGCCATGTTCCTGGATGAATATCATGAAGTGGTCATTTCCCTGAAATTACTCTACCTATTAACAGTAATTCTATCAACCATCTCAGTGGTTGGCCTTTTAACCACCTGCAAGCATATAATACAAAACCTACCTAATAAATTCTAAAAGATTGTAAGAAAATCCCATTGGGGGATGAATAAATAGAAGAAACATGATGGAGTGATTCCAAAATACATAAGGAGACGTTTTCAGTGCACGATAGTGATCTGAGCACAAGCATGTGTCTCCCTTCCCTTCTAAGAGAAAAAAAGTGTTAGTGATAGAGGAGGTTCCTCAGGGGAGGAATCTCAACACGTTTTGGGAGAACAGAGAGAAGTTGTAAGTCCTTTGATAGGTAAACAGTGAAGAAGCATATATTCAGAATACACAGGAGGGTACTTCTTCCACAAAAAAAGCCAATGTGCCTCAATGTGCCTCAATGTGCCTCTCCTTAGCAGTGAATTCTCCAGCCTGGAAGGGCATTCCCTCTGTTACCTCATTTACTAGAAGTAGTCACATGGCCCTATTCGAGGGCAAGAGGGCCAGAAAGTATGCTCCCCAAAAGGCAGAGAACTGCAATATTTGGTGAACAACTCAAATGCAAATGAACTTTGAGATTCATTTAAAAGGGTGCTACCTACCATGAGTCCTTACTACGGAGTCGACGAAGCCACGGGATTTCTCCTTTATAGGTGGCTGCAATATTAAAGGAGAAGATGATAGCTGGGACTTTGGCACTGGTGCTGGATTTTATGTGGATGCCACTGAAGATCCTTGGAAAACTAACTACAGAATGTACTCTTACGTAACTGAGGAGGTAATTTCATTTACGTTGTACTTATGAATTGATGACTGCCAAGAGTTTGATTTGGGACCCAAAGTCCTTCTAGTCCTGACACTTTTAAACCAGGGTATGGTATTGCTGAATCCACGTGGTACATGTTTATTGATTATCTTAGTGAACATTTCAAAGTTTAATTGTATGATAGTCTTATTTACCACAATTTAAATTAGCATTAAGTACAATTTTAAAGAAGGTAATAATTATTTTGATATCTGTGTACACTACCCAGATTATATAAAGAAAACAACATATGAAAAACCTTTTCATTTCTCTGGCAGCTGGTTTATTCAGACATAATGATTAACCAACCAAGGCTTACTTAAAAAGGATAAGTGAGGGTAAACCATTGCTTGTATTAATAATATTTATGTTCAGTTTATATGTTTTTCTAAATTTTGTATGATTTTAATTATTATGTACATAAAAACTGAGACACACAAAAAAACTGAGACACAATAATATAAAATATTAATCACTCCTTATTCCATACCCCAAATAATAACAGTTTTTGGTACGTTCCAGAGTTGTTTTTTTGTATGACCAGTTTTCATACAGTTGTAAAATTTACTATCTTGTTTTTTTTAATTGTATAAAATAAATATTTTCCTAATACTCTTTGTAAGATAGCCTTAACAATTGCATAATATTCCATGATATACCATAATTTACTTTTTCCTAATGCAGGACGTTTACATATTTAAGTATGTTTCTTACCACAATAAATTTTACTGCATTGATTGTCTGGATGTATAATTTTTTCCCCCTAAGGACTTTTCCCTAGAATAGATGCCAAGAAATGAAATTACTAGACAAAAGTTTAGACATTTTACAGGCTCGTCCTGCATCATCTTCTTTAATTTGCTTTCTGAGAAGGATGTACCATGTTTTTACCAGCAGTACATTAATAATCCTTGTCTACCTGAGATATTTTTTATCTTTATTAGTTCATAGTATTGTAAGACTGTGATTTGAAAGTGTTGTGTAAGCATTTTATATGACTTTGAAAAAGTCTATAAACTTGTTTCTTTCATATCTTTTGTCACACTATTAAATTCTCTCTAGCTTCCCCAACTTGTAAATGCCAATTTTCCAGTGGACCCACAAAGGATGTCTATTTTTGGCCATTCCATGGGAGGCCACGGAGCTCTGATTTGCGCTTTAAAGAATCCTGGAAAGTACAAAGTAAGATTACCAAAGCTTTCAGTGACAAGTATTTCTCTTGGATAAAAACCGTTAGAAACTTTGAATGAGTTAAATCAGGATATTGTTAAGATAGTACTGGGACCAAACTTTTCTAGTGTTGGGAGTTTCAAGAGGCTGTAGGGGAAGAATATTAAATTTGACCACACAATTTTATGCTCCAGAATCAGAAGTATAGGAATTCTATCACAGTTGGTCTGCTAGAAGTATGATAAAGCAATTTTTATTGCTTCTATTCAGACTTAGTTTTCTCGGCATTTTTTCCCCCTAAAGCTTGTTACTGTGGCAGTGTGTATCATTTACTTATATTTTTACCAGGAATACATTTGTTAAGTTGACTTTGATTTTCTGAGGTAGAATAAGGTATTCATAATTTGTAAAAGTCTAAGAATTTTCTCTTCTTATTGCCTCTGGTGAAAATTGGATTGCAGCTTAGCTGCAAAATAACACTCTGTCTTTCCATTCATTTATTTGAAACTGTATAGCTTTCCTTTTTTGTTTAAATGAGCCAAGGTGGAATAACCACCATATGTAAAATGTCCTCCTGGGCGGAGCAGTGTACCCTCATGTTGAGAAAGGAAATGCTGAAGCAGTGACAATCTCGGGATTGCCTCTGCCTTTAACATCACAGAGCTGTCAGATACCTCAAGGTTTATTTAATCCATTTCCTTCCCTTAGAGAGAACTTAGTCATTTCAAGTGTGCCACTGAGATGAAAAATATTTCTTATAGCAGTTTTGCATTGTGGCACCAAATACTTTTCTTTTAGTTGGCTTTATTATAAAGTTGAACTAATTCATGGCTTGATAGTAGGTTTTTAAAATAAGGTCTTATTTTCCATTGTTTTGTATATAAGGCAATTAGTTTATTAGTTTGAGGGAAAAAATCAAATTTAATTTTTTCCTTTAAAAAATTTAGTAGACGTTGATAAACATATACTTTGATAAGCGCTCTGAAATTGAATGATTCCATCTCTGCCACTTATCTAGTGAAAAACAATACTGCATAGAACACAAATATTTCAGGGCATTGCTTAGTGCTTTCTTGGCCCTCTTTAAGAGAAATCATGGGTCTCAGATTTAATAACATGTTCACAAAAATGGGTATGAACTGTTCTGTATTTCTCCTCATTAATTTTAAATGGAAAAAATGCGTAGAAACTGAATATAAACTTGTATTTGTGCCATATTTAATGTATTGCTTTACAGTATGTTGGCACCTATGGTTAATTAGCTCTCTTAATAGAATACACAAAAGATGTATCCTGGAGAGGCCCGCAATCTCAGCGCATAATAGAGCCTAGGAAAGTTGTTCACAGGTGTTTTCATGGCAAGTCAGAGTTTATAAGCAAGTTGCAGATAAACTTCTGAGATTTTAAGTATGTTGCAAATCATTTGTTCACGTTTGATTTAGCAAAATATAACTTGTTTTAAAATTTCCTTTGTTTCTGAAGTCTGTGTCAGCATTTGCTCCAATTTGCAACCCAGTGCTCTGTTCCTGGGGCAAAAAAGCCTTTGGTGGATATTTGGGAACAGATCAAAGTAAATGGAAGGTAGGTACCGGGATGGCTGTCTTCATGCTCATTCAGATTTGTGAAAAAGCTACACATCACAGATATATTCCTAACTGAAGGATCTGGAGCTAAAATAATTAACAGAAGAATCTATGTATAACAATATCAACATCAAAAAAAGCCCTATTTTCTAATTGTATTGAATTGTGGCGGATGTTCTGAGACTATATTTTTTTTCTGCTAATGATTAATTTACATGTTTATTTCTAAATTAACATTCCCCAAAAATGCAACATTTTATTACTAAATTTACATTTGCCTCTTATTAACCATGTGCTCAGCTGTACTATAGGAAGCATGACTCTTGGCCTTTTAATTATTCCACGTATCTATTTTCAAAATCCAGCATCTCTCAGATTTGGATTTTAAATTCCAGACCTGGGCAGCCCTGGTGGAGCAGCGCTTCAGCGCCGCCTGCAGCCTAGGGCGTGATCCTGGAAACCCGGGAAATCCCACATCGGGCTGCCTGCATGGAGCCTGCTTCTCCCTCTGCCTGTGTCTCTGCCTCTCTCTCTCTCTCTCTGTGTATGTGTGTGTCTATGAATAAATAAAAAAAATAAAAATAAATTCCAGACCTGAAAGTCTTTAAAAATAGTTATTATGTAATGTACATTTATGTAAACATTCGAATATCAAGATTGCTTTTTCAAGCATGGGAGCAGATGCTTCTAAATGAAAACTAAAAAGTGGCTCTTTGAGACTTGTTTGATTTTTGTGCAGAAATAGGCTATTTGCAAACACCAAGAGTTTAAATATTTTGCAGATGCATTCATCATCATGTGCATGTTAACAAGTAGAAAATACTTGAGTGGGGGAAGAAAAAAACTTTTTGTCTTACTGTCATGTGTTCAGGGTCATTCACACATGGATCCCAATTTTATTTAAGATTGGTTATTGAAATTCTAACAAACTGTGGAGGGTTAATCCTTTAGTTACTGGATTAGAATTCTGTTTTGTTGAGGCTTATATTTTTATTATATTGGAAGAATGCAGAAAGTGATGACTTTTAGGTGCTTTGAGAGCTGACAGTGCATGTACTTTGGTGTCTGGAGTCCTTGCCACTGTGCAGAGCCTATGTGGAGTTCAAGATCTTAGGCCACAAAGGTGATAATGTTTCACATCCATATGGGGCTTAGGTTCTGGTAGAAGTGTTGGGTAAAAGACCAGCTGGTGGGGCACGTGGGTGGCTCAGTCAGTTAAGCGTCCAACTTGTGATTTCAGCTCAGGTCATGGCCTCATGGGTGGTGGGATGGAGCCCTGAGTCCGGCTTCCCACTCAGCTGGGAGTTCTGCTTGGAATTCTCTCTGTTCCTCTGTTTTTTTTTTTTTTTCTCTCTCTCTCTCTCTCTACCTCAAATAATATCTTAAAAAAGAAAGAAAGAAGAAGACAAACTGGTTGATAGAAAGGAAGGGAGAGGCAGAGGCACAGGTAACCTCTAAAGGAATCTAATTATATAATTTTTCTCTCGGTGACCGTAGATTTTACTATCTTAAGTATGTTGTGTTTAGACTATTACTTAATTTCAGAATAAGGAAGCCACGCAGAATTATGAAATCTCAGAACTTTGAACTAGTTGGACTTTATAGATCTCCTTCCACTCTCTTATAAAATTAAAGAAAGCAAGTCTTAACAGGGTTTTGTCTTGATTGCACATAGAAGTTGTGGCTAGTGAATATATAAAAAATAAGAATACTTAAAGGTAGATGATAAAGTACAAACTTGTAACTGGTGGCAGCTCCTTAGATAATAAATTGGAGGAGTTGTCTGTATGATTCAGATTATTTAAATTAAATCTTCCCCAAAGCTCCTAGGGGGATAGCAAACATTGGTGCTGAATAAAAGAAAAGGCTGAATGTATTTAAGTCCAGAATTAGAGCCAAAAAGAAGAGACAACAAAATAGACTATTTATTTGAAATAGATAATATCTAGAAAAAGAAAAAGGTAAGGAAGAAATAGTTTCTGGAGGAATTTATAAAGAAAAAATACCATTTTGTTTTTGTTTTTTGGAGTTGAGAGGTAATTAAGCTCAGAGGTTTAAAAGAAAAGGGTCCAAACTGTAAAGAATTCTAAGATACAGAATTCTCGCCACTGGCCCAGGACTGCTGGGAAGTAGAGAAGCAGCTATAAGTGGGACATAGATCTCTGAAGCCCTTACAAGTAAAAGCCAGACGAGACAATGTAAAAAAAAGCATTTTTCTGATTTAATCGTCCTTAGAGCTTAAATGACGTTAAATTTCTATTTGGTTCTGCTGTGGTCTGTTTTGAAGAACATCTTTCTGGGCACTTTCAGATTTATTTGTCAATATTTGTCTTTTTCTAGGCTTATGATGCTACCCATCTTGTGAAGTCCTACCCCGGTTCTCAGCTGGACATACTAATTGATCAAGGGAAAGATGACCAGTTCCTTTCAGACGGACAGTTACTACCTGATAACTTCATAGCTGCCTGTACAGAAAAGAAAGTCCCTGTTGTTTTTAGGTTACAAGAGGCAAGTACTCGGAAACCTCTGCTTGTTCTAAGTAACTATAAAAAAGCAAAAGTCCAGGGGTGCCTGGGTGGCTCAGCCGGTTAAGCATTCAACTCTGGATTTCAGCTCAGGTGGTGATCTGAAGGTCATGGGATAGAGCCCTGAGTCTGGCTTGTGCTTAGCTCGGAGTCTGCTTGAGATGCTCCCTCTCCCTGTGCTCCTTTCCCCGCTCGCTCCCTTGCTCTCTAAATAAGTAGTCTTTAAAAAAAAAGACAAGATTCCATAATACCTTATATTTCAGAATTTGAAAAGCTACCTCTAGTAAGGTTTTTTTTTTAATTATAACAAGACACTTAAAGTGAAAGCCTTCTTACTAAGTTAATGATGTCTAAGATCAAATTCCATAGAAAGAAGAAAGCTTTCAGAAGTGAGAAGTATTTGTAATTTTCTGTGTCGCTGCAGAACCACTGAATAACAAGAAGCTTCATGCTTGAATAGGGCTTAATCTGCTGCATTTCTGCTGTGTCTGTCTTTGCACATACAGCTGTTTTCGCGTAAATAACAAGTATAACCTCCCACCATAATCACTCTTCACTTTATGTGTACATCTTAGCCTCAGAAGCTGTGAACTGTTTGTCTCAAACATAGGCACTTGATACTTTTTGAGTTAGCTGCTAATCTAGCCATTGTGCTTTGTGGTATTTTTTTAAATTTAAAAATAATTACTCAGTTTCAATTGATTTGCAGGTATTCCTTGACTAAAAGACTTAACTGTTCCCTACTCACCTAGCTCAGTGCTAATACAGTTATAATTAAAGAAATTCGGCTTTTTTTTTTAAATTGCTTATTCATAAGCTTTGGTATGTAATTTAAACAAAATATTTCCGGATGAAAAGTGAACACTGTAAATTACAAATGATTGTGATTTTTTAAAACATTTTTATTCGCATTCCAGGGTGATATGTCAGGCACGTTGATCTAAAATGTATAATAATGATTAATGATGATAAATGTCCAAGTAAGTGTAAATCAGTGTATAACGTGTATATTTCAGTTTACAAAAGCTTTTCACAACATTAGCTCATTTTATCCTTATGTAGTCAAATCAGTGACCATTCGTATCCTGTCCATCTGGGGTTTTTGTTTGTTTTTAAGGTTTTTCATAATTTTTTTATTGTGTAAAAATATCATCTATAAAATTTACCATCTAACCCTTTTTTTTTTTAAAGTAAATATTTACTTGAGAGAAGGACAGACGAGGCGAGAGCATGAGCACGGGGAGAGCCAAAGGGAGAGGGGCAGAGAGGATCCTCAGACTCCCCTCTGAGCACAGAGCCCAACAGGGTCCATCCCAGGACCCTGAGCAGAAATCAGAGTTGGCCACTTACCTGAGCCACCCAGGTGCCCCTCCATCTTAACTAAACAAACACATCTGTGCTATGAAGTATGTTCATAATGTCGTTCAGCCGTCACCACCGTCCATCTTCATAACTCTTATTTTGTAAAACTGAAACTTCATACCCATAAACACTGAATTCCTCCTTCCTCCCTCCCTCCAACCTTTGGCATCCATCATTCCACTTTCTCTATGTATCTGACTTCTCTCAGTGTCTCGTATAAGTGGAATCATATAGTTTTCATAATTTCCTTTTAGATAGAAATGCAGCTGATTTTGGGGTGTTGCTTTTGTATTTTATTACTTTGGAATCTTTAGGGTTTTCTATATACAAGATCATATCTACGAACAGAGATCATTTTATCTCTGTTTTTCCAAATTGTATGCCTTCTATGTCTTTTTCTTGTGTAATTGCTCTGGCTAGGATTTCCAGTACTGTGTGGAACGGGAAGTTTCAACAGTGGGCACCTTGTCTTGTTCCTGATCGTAGAGGAAGAACTTTTGTATCCCCCCACTCAGTGTGATGTTTGCTGTGGATTTTCATATATGGCTCCTGTCCATCTGTTTTGCAGGCTTAGAAAAGTATTATGTATGTAAAGTTCATAGGACTAGTTTCCAGTAGAGTCAGCAAGGTCATTTGAATGGAAACACTTACCTTCCTGTCCTCTGACTATTCCCAGGCAGGGTGCAGCGGGGCTCCTGAGGAGCAAGGGGATGGAGTTTAGCTAACGCCAGAAGAATTTATGCATAACCTGCTGTTTCACTCACGCAATAGATCTTAACAGTCTCCACCTTTTTAAAAAATTTCCCTAATATTTTGATTGGGTAGATAACATATATATTATTTACATGTATTTTTGTGTACATACATGTTTATGCGTATATGTACCATGTGGGAAAAATATGTCAAATACCAATATATTAGATGTGCCTTATTTTCTCTGAGTGTCCTTCTTTAATAGGATTTCCTTAGGTTAATTTAAGCACTTACCAGAATTATGTATTTTCGATCAATAACGAACTTTGAGAATCCAAATGCCAGTTTAATTATAAAGTAGTGTGTTCAACTATATTAACTGTAGCTAGAAGTAACGTAATAAACCGTGTTTCTTACCGAATCATTTCTTGGCACTAGATTTCTTGGCACTAGTGGTGTTGGATGCCTCCCCACCCCCCCCACCCCCCCGCCAAGGCTGTGCCGGGAAATTCTGTTGTTACTACCAACAACAAAGTTTCAGCCTGCCAACAAAGACTGAAAAAATCTCTGGAGTTTGTTATAAAAACAGCATAGTAGTTAAAACACTGATGAAATTCTTGGAGGGGAAAAAATAAATCAACTTATTTATTTCTGAAATGCTTTATATCCTAAGCAACTAAAAAACACAGTTGGGTGTATTTAATGAGGAGTTAAGACAAAACATTCAGTTCTAAAAAAGGGTGAGAAAGTATTGAAATTACCAGCCATAATCTTTAGCTCAGGCACAATTTTTCGTTCACTCTCTTTCCAGCAAGGGCAGGGTAAGAGCAAACTACACCATCCGAAGACGATGTCTAGGCTTGCTGTGATTGAATGAGCAACTGAGTAGACATGACCGGGCATGGCTCCGGAGAGGCTGCCTTCGGGTTTTTGGGCCAATTTCCACTGCCTTCAGGTTACCTCAGGTCTGAGAGTCGTATCTGCTTTATCAGTTCAGTATAAGTACAAGAGGACTGTATTTCTTAAAATGGTTTTTTTTTAAATTTTTATTTATTTATGATAGAGAGAGAGGCAGAGACACAGGCAGAGGGAGAAGCAGGCTCCATGCACCGGGAGCCCGACGTGGGATTCGATCCCGGGTCTCCAGGATCGCGCCCTGGGCCAAAGGCAGGCGCCAAACCGCTGCACCACCCAGGGATCCCAAGAGGACTGTATTTCTTTATGAAATAAATTGAGCAGTGAAGCATTAAGTAGGCCGCAGAAAATAGGGGCCGTCTATAAGTATGTGAATGAAGGAGGACGATCAAAAATTACGGTCATGTATACGATTTACTCAACTTTCTTTTTTTCCCTCTTTTTGGTGTTAAATGCTCACATCCAGTTTTATGGTCTACAGTTGGAGAACAGTTGAGAGGCAAGTGTGGCGCCTGGGGATATTTGTCCCCTCATAGAATTTCTTTTACTCTGTTTTGGCTTCCATGGATCTAAATTGAAAAAGCACTAGGAGCAGAGTCCTGGGAGTGTAGCCTCCAATGTCTTCCTTCCAGTTACTGAACTTACGTAGTGAGCAAAAGATTTTGGGGACCTAATGGAAACCCAAGAGAGCAAGGCTCCCCCACGTCCTCAAGTCTCAGGCGGGTTTTGAAGACTCACAGACTGTTTTGGCCTCTGCACTGCCTGGTAGAGAACAGGAAGGACGTGGCACAGAATTCCAGAAGTGCAGGCATCTCCTGTGCCCCCGTGTCCTCCGGCTCAGCACCACTACCCAGCACACAGACTCCAGGAGCAGCTTATTAAATATGGAAACTTCACCTTTCAGCAGTCTTCTCTGTATTCTGAAGAAACTAACTGACCCAGGGATTCCTAGCGGAGCTTTTCTAATTGGGTCTGGAAAATGTGTGGGGAAACACTGCCTGTTTGAGTAAGTGTTCATCATAGCTGCTGGAGCACTGCTGCTTTTTTGAGAGCTGAGGGAGGAATGAAAGAATGTGTTCGTTTATTTTTATACTCTTTAAGAGAGTTTGCTACTGACTGATGATTTTGCCATTTAAACTGGAAGTAGATAGAAGAGAAAACCAAGGCTCTTTCAAGTGTCACTGAATATATGGAATTGCATGAGCTGCTTAACACAGCAAACTAACTCAAAAGAATTTAATGGAAGGACCCACACCCATTTGATAATATCAATAAATAGAAGGGGAAACCAGTCAAGAATGACACCGTTAGTTCAAGTTATATAAGCATCTTCTGTCTACCAGAATGGCAGGAGTTCACATGTGTTCTTCTGCCCTGAAGTTGACATTTAAAAAAATCTTTCTCGGGGCGCCTGGGTGGCTTTGGTCAGTTGGGTGTCCGACTCTTGATTTTGGCTGAGGTCCTGATCTCCAGATTGAGACATCGAGCCTCACAAGGGGCTGTGCTCAGCGAGGAGCCTGCTTGAGACTCTCCTTCGCCCTCTGCCCCTCCCCCTGCTCATGTACCCTGGCTCTCTCTGGCTTGCTTTCTCGTTCCCTTGTTAAAAAAAAAAAAAAAAAAAAAAATCCTTCTCACTGTGTCGTGATAGGTAGGCCATTTTCTATCTTCTTATAAAGGTGGATCTTCTGTTAAATATCACTATGGACATTAGGGACTTTGGCTTTGTGTTTTAGGTAAAATATACCATAACCTCGTGGTACACTCCCGAGAGCTGGAAACTGTGACTTTGTCTTACCCTTGGTCTTCTCTACTAAAATAATAATAATGAATAAATAACCCTGACAGCCCTTTGTGCCTGTGCGCCTGAAACTGTGCACGGCATCCAACCTCCGTGAAACTAAGAAGACAGCAGAGTCGGTCACAGCGGAGGTTTTGCTGCACAGGTGTCAGGGCATCCGTGTCCCGGCGTCTGTACCTGTCTTCAGTCAGAGACCTCTTTCCATCTGCAAAAACTGGCAGGTGCTGCTCGGTACTGCATTTCCTAGGGTCTGTGGGTTGGAAGTCGTGGGCCTGTTTCACCTCCTAATGACTGAGGAATTGCAGGGGTCCCACAGGCTTTGTTTAAATAATTCAGTCCTTCAGCCTTATTTATTTTTTTTAAAGATTTTATTTATTTATTCATCAGAGACAGAGAGAGAGAGAGAGGCATAGACGCAGGCAGAGGGAGAAGAAGGCTCCATGCAGGGAGCCTGAAGTGGGACTCGATCCTGGGACTCTACGTCCTGGGCCGAAGGGGGCGCTGAACCGTTGAGCCACCCAGGGACCCCCCAGTCCTTCAGCTCTAGATTGAACTCGCTGACTGGGACGGGTCTAATCGAGAAATGGGAAACCACTAATTCCAAAGCTCAGCCTTAATTAATTCTGGCAACATTCTCGTCAGGTTCGTTTCTGTGATTTGGCCACAGGAAACGAGACCATGCTTTTAAGTTACTGTGATGACTGGAACCTGGAGCTCTTTATTTAACTTCCGTTCCCAAGACATATACCACTGCATACCTGTGGGAGTAAGAGGTTAAGAGCATTTACCGATTTCATCAAGACCTTAGGGATTTGCCTTGTTCCTTGAAACCCAGTTGATATTTTTATTAGGGCTATTTTTGCTTCTTAAGTGTTTAGGAAAATCCCATTTTCTCCCATCAGAGACCATTCACTAGATAAAGCTAAAAACTTTAAGATCTTGCTTTGACTTTTCCCTCCTTTCAGCTTATGCCACCTTGGGTTTTCATTGTGTTTAGCTCCCTCTTAATTTTTTTTTCCTTTTCTTTTGAAAGCCTCTTCATGTCTTGTAGTCAGAGGATGCCCCAAGGAAGCATCTTCTCTCCATTTAGCAGCGTCAGTGGTTTTAATGAACCAGCTAGCTGAGACCTGTTTCAGCTCCGCTGCTTGGCATACACATTTTCTCTGTTTCAGGATAGTTTTCAAAATAGTTGACTGACGTCAGACCCAGGATGGTTTACTGCTAGGGATGTCACGGTTTAATGAATTACTCCCCTCTCCTCAATAGAGACGTGATGCGCTTCTATTGTGCAGGAGGTGGATTCCTACCTAGACTTCGGATGGCTGTCTGACTTCCCACACAGTGTCTGGCCAGTTGGGTGGTTTTGTGCTTTCTCTGTGTTGTCTTTGTGTGCTCATTTTGTATTTTAACATTTCCCATCTTACCCACATTGGTGTATTTCTTCTGGGAGCTGAAACTTCTTGCCCATGTTCCTGACTTCCTTAAGTTCTGATCCTTTTATTCCTTGTTGACGTGACCACCTGTTTATCCTGTACATTTAGTTCATGTTTTATTTCCTTTCTTTGCATATTATGCGGCATCCAAAACCTAGGCTTTGGAGAGTATTTCTTTTTCTTCATACTTTTGCTGTTCTTTTAATGTTCAGTGAAAAGTGTTGGAAGTACAAATACAATAAGCTTGATTTTGATTCTAAACTTTCCTCCTACTGTAATAATTTCAGGATTTACATGAAAATTAAGTGACGAGAGAGACATATAATGTCCTTAGTACTGGTGTTTCTGACCGGTAAGTATCTTAACCATTTCTCTCTTTTGTCTTCTAGGGTTATGATCATAGCTACTACTTCATTGCAACCTTTATTACTGATCACATCAGACATCATGCAAAATATCTGAATGCGTGAAAAACTTCAGTTAAGAAAATTTGTTCGAGATTATAAAATTATAATAAACAATTGCAGGGAAAGATGATTTCAAGACATTGGATCTCATAGTGCTAAAAATGTATCATTCTGTAGTTAAATCCCTTTCTGAGTAAGTACGTAAAACCTGCTTATGATTCAAAAGTTGTTTTATCCCTGTTATATGGGAAATATTAAATACTTTACAGCTTTTTCAAGGTTACTTACAAATCATTATTGTATTAATTAACCTCGGGCCACCGAATATATAAATACAATCGCATTTAAATCATAGAGTGCTAACTTGGGAATGGGTTTGAGAGGTATGGTAGCCAAAACCCTTCAGTTTGCCAGACTTTAAAGTCTGTGAAAGCATGGACGGTGTTCCTTATGTTCAGTGTTAAAGCTCTAGTGTCTAGCAGCTACTTGGCTTCGGTACGCATTTAATAATTATTTTTTGCTGACCTTTCTGAGCCAACTTCCTTATTTAAGTAAATTCCCCATCCTTACACAGTTATTTGTGGGACAGCTAAGATCAGAAGCCAGATTTCCTAAACCCAACCCAATGATACTTCTTTTCTTATCTATTAAGCCAAACAGATTTGTGGACATGGATTTCTGGAATGTCCCAAGAGACAAGAATTAACTAATAAGATTCAATCTGAAAATAGCTATATAAGGAAAGTTTTTTCATCTGTTACTCTAAACGCAGTATTTTCCTTCAGTTACATGCAGAAATTCTGTAATCAGTCTCTTTGTAAATAACAAATTGTGTTCCTTTAAGAACTTAACGAATAGGGACGCCTGGTTGGCTCGGGCGGTTTAGCACCTGCCTTTGGCTTAGGTCTTGATCCTGGGGTCCTGGGGTCAAGTCCGGCATCCGCTCCCCACAGGGAGCCTGCTTCTCCCTCTGCCTGTGCCTCTGCCTCTCTCTCCGTGTCTCTCATGAATGAATAAAATCTTAAAAAATAAAAAAAAACTTAACAAATAAATTTTTGAAACACGATAGATGAAGTTTGGTTATTTTAAAAACATTTTTCTACTAAGGAAGCATGAAGATTATACATTTTTAAAAATGTTAATTCCAGTGTGGTTAACATTAGTGTTGTATTAGTTTCAGGTGTGCGAGGTAGTGATTCAGCACTTCCCTCTGTTACTCCGTGTTCATCAAGATAAGTATACTCGTGACCCCCTTCACCTGTTTCACAAAGAGCATACTTTTTACACATTCAATAAGATTGCATATTAAAAAAAAAAAGACTGCATATTACACAGTAATTGAAGCTATCAGGTACTTTAAAGTCATAAAATTAGTAGTAGTTAAATGTGAATTAGATTGTACTAAAAAATTTTTTATTTTTTATTTTTATTTTTTGTACTAAAAATTTTTAAATCAGTACTATTGAAGTATCAGTACTGAGCCCTATAGTGAACCACACACAAAATGTTCTAGTCTAAACTGTTTCGTGTTCCCTAATAAGGAAGATCATTTAATTTGCGAATTTTGTGCATGTTATTGGTAACTCCTTTGTAAAGAGAAGCAGGTGTGTACCTCTTAGATCACTGACTTAGTTGCAGATTTAATCAGAGAAGCAGAACTAGTAGGAGATAGACATATTAAGAGATTTCTCATAAGGAATTGGCTTATGTGATTGGGGGCGGGGGGGGGGGGCTGGCTAAGCAAGTCTGAAGCCCATAGAGCAGGCCAGCAGGGAGGGACCCCAGAGGCATGGGCTGAGGCTACTGCCCACAGGCGGGATTTCCTGTCTGGAGCTAGCTTCAGCCTTGTTTTTAAGGCCTGATTGAGTGAGACCCACCATATTATCCAGGATAATCTTCCTTATTTAAAGTCAGTTGATCAGAGACTTTAATAATATCTGCAAAATCCCTTAATAGCAAAAACCAGATTAGTGTCTGAATAACTGGGAGCTATACCCTGCTAGGCGGGCACGACATTGTAAGAAAATTGTTGCTTTGCCCTTTTGCAGGATAAATGCAAAAATATTTAACTACTCGGTGAATAATTGCTGACATATAGCCAATGATAACCCTAATAAAGTCAAAGGACTTCAGTTACAAACGGCATGGAGCTGACCGTCAAGGATATATAGGAGGTCAGGCCGGTAAACTGAAGCTTGCTCTTAATGTGCCGCAAAAAATGGCTGGGGAGGGATGAGTTCTGTACGCCTAAATGTAAGATGTTTCCCCCGCCAGAAATAATTCTCTCCCAAAATCAGGTTATAAGGAACCATCTTGATGATTTCATAGTAAAAAATACCCCCCAAGTGACCTAATACTAGCTCTGTGTGCTTCTAAATGGCACCAGACAGAGTCGGGTCTAAAAGGAGACACAAGGAATGGACACATCTCCTGGCGCCTGGATGTTGTGAAAGCCTCCTGGGACCCCTGGAGAATACGATGCAGTGCAGCCACCACCGAGAGTGAAGAGGCAAGCCGTCGAGCGGGCGGCGTTCTTGCCGTACGTGCATCTGATGACAGGCTTGTATCCAGAACGTCTGAAGAGCTCCCACAAATTCGTTTTCAGAACAGATGTAAACCAACAGGAAAGTGGGCAAAGGAGGGAATGGGTAGCTCATTCGTGAAGTAGGAGGGAAGGAAGCCTAGCAGACCCACGAAGATGCGCCTGCCTCCGAGACTGGGGACCTACACGGAAGAACTGCAGTAAGATGCCGCTGCACGCTCCCCTGAATGACTAAGCAGGACAGCAGAAATCCCGAGGTCGGTGACGCTGTACGATGACCTCCTAGAGCGAGCACCTGGCACGGCCCTGCCCGACAGCTGCCCCCGGGGCCGCCCGGCCGTGGCTCGTGCTTACACAGCCTGTATGAGGACGTCCTCAGCAGCACCGCTCATGGCAGCCAGGATCTGGAGACAACCCTGGTGTCCGTCTACACCGGATGGGTAAAACTGGGAGTATATCCACACAGTGCAATATTCTGTGTTTTTTTATTGGATATTTTTTTATTGGACCTCGATTTGTCCCGTCCCCGCCGCGCCTCCGACCCCCCTGTCAGGCCCCCTGCGCCTGCCGAGGACCCAAGGGCCCTATTTCAGGGTCTGACCCCCTAAGGCCACAGGATTCCGGGAACTAGAGCATGCTTCCAGAGGGGGCTCCTAAATAGCTTGCTAGTGATGGTTCAGGGAACCCCATTTTCTCCTCCAGCAGACAAATATTATCCTGGGGAACACCCTAGAACTGACAGGGGGGAAAAGCAAGTGCATCAAGTTGTACCGTGTGCACAGGATGCCTCACAGCAAAGATCCCAACAGTTTACTGGGTCCCCGTAAGACGGGATTACAGGTGCTGCTCCCCAACCCCTCCGTACTGTCCGACGTTTCTATGACAAACATGTTCCACACTGATAAACAGGTAAGAATTCCAATTTTTTTTATTTAAAGATTTTTATTCATGAGACACAGAGAGAGAGAGAGAGAGGCCGAGACACAGGCAGAGGGAGAAGCAGGCTCCATGCACGGGAGCCCGACGTGGGACTCGATCCCGGGTCTCCAGGATCACGCCCTGGGCTGAAGGCATCGCTTAAACCGCTGAGCCACCCGGGCTGCCCAAGAATTCCAAAATTAAATAAAAAACCATAATAATGGCTTATTAAATTAGGAGAGCGACGGCAACGAAACCGGAGGCTTCTTCCTGGACCGCGTTGCCCCGCGAGGAGCCCCTCCCTCCCCGGGCGTTCAGACTGGTCCCAGGAGGCCCAGCCTGCCACACTGTATCACGTAAATTTGCTTTTTTCTCTCTCCTACCCCACATCCTAAGAATTACCCAGGACCTCTTTTCTTTAGGCTCTAGCACCCTGCTGGTCAGCTCCCCGGCCGTCCCGTGAGCCCCCGCTGGCCTCGGCCCAGCCTCTCCCGCCACCTGGCGGGGCTGGGGCGCGCTGCCTGCACCCTCGGAGTCTGGGGGCTCCTCGCTCGCCTCCCCTGGGAGGGCCCTGCCGCCTCGGCCCCTGGAGCTCAGGGCACCCGGGCCTCTCCCGCTCCCGGCCCACAGCGCCCCCCACACGCCTCGCCCAGCTCTGTCCTCTGTCCGTGGTCACCCGGGAAACACCGAACTCCGGCGGAACAGACGCTCGGGCCACTGAGAGCGGGTCCACCCCCGCGGGCTCTCGCAGCGCCCTGCCTGCCGGGACTCGGGGCCCTGGACCACAGGGCCGCTCGGTGGCCACCTAGCGGGGGCGCCCGAGCAGGGGACCCCACCCCCGAGTGCAGGCGCCCCCAGACCGCCCCCGGGGCCTGGTGTCTGCTCGGCCCGTCCTGGATCCGAGGGGGGCCTCTAGGCGCCCAGGGCTCCGCAGTGGAGCACCTGCCTCGGCTCGTGGCCCCCGGGCCCGGGATCGAGCCCCGCAGCGGGCCCTACGCAGAGCCTGCTTCTCCCTCGGCTGATCTCCACCTCTCTCTGGGTGTCTGGGTGTCTTGGGGTGTCTGGGTGTCTTTGGGTCTCCGCCTCTCTCTGGGTCTCTGGGTGTCTCCATGTGTCTGGGTGTCTCTGGGTCTCCGCTTTTCTCTCTGGGTCTCTAGGTGTCTCTGGGTCTCCACCTCTGTCTCTGGGTATCTCTGGGTCTCCACCTCTCTCTGGGTCTCTGGATGTCTCTGGGTGTCTGGGTATCTGGGTGTGTTTGGGTGTCTCTGGGTCTCCGCTTTTCTCTGGGTCTCTGGGGGTCTCTGGGTGTCTGGGTGTCTCTGGGTCTCCACCTCTCTCTGGGTCTCTGGATGTCTCTGGGTGTCTCTGGGTATCTCTGGGTCTCCACTTTTCTCTGGGTCTCTGGGTGTCTCTGGGTGTCTGGGTATCTCTGGGTCTCTGGGTGTCTCTGGGTGTCGTAGAAACAAATACATGGGAAGGTCAGGTCAGCACCCCCTGCTGGGGCCCGGCTCACTGCTGCCTGGATCTCTTGGACTCCCCAGAAGCATGGGGACGCCCCCGGTGCAGCCCTTGTGGCCCCATCTGGGTGTCGGGACGGTTCCCAGCAATGGCCCTGGTCCCAGTCCCCCCCCATCCCCTTGCCTCCCCCCCGCTGCCCACCCAGTCAGCGAAGCAGGGAGCACTACACCTGCCCGAGGAGTCCCCCCCCACCGCGGGTCACCTGCCGCAGGGGGCGGGTGCGGAGGAAGGATGCGGCCTGTGCTTCCAGGATACACCCTGCAGGACCCTTGGGGACCCTCGGGGACCCCTGGCCGCCACCCAGGGCCAGGCGGAGGCTCCTGAGGCCACAGCCCCGCTTCCACACAGCACAGCAACTCGGCTTCTGCCCGCTGGCTGGTGGGGAAGCCTCCAGGGAAGATTGTAGTTTGGGAGGAAAAAAAAAAAAAGGTCAAACAAAAAAATGTATAAATATACTACAGACCCACACACTCCTACGTGTACACCGGGTAATTGCTAGCGTCCATTTCAGCAACGACACCTTTGGATTTCTTTTGTGGCTACAGTCGACCTTTGCATCACAGGGCTGAGTCAGGCAGATGGTTTGTACAAATTCAAAGTTTTAATGGCTGTTAAATAATAAAAGAAAGGATATTTGCACTATGTACATTCCGTCCGCTGACGGTACTCTCAGCTGGCCGTGCACATCTTATTGCACATATAGACAGTGTTCAGGGATCTTGAAGACGTCTTAGCCATACAAGGACTAGCACTGAAGAGGCAAGAAGCCATTGCACAAAAATATTGAAGCCATTTGCATTATACAGCCAACTGTAAGAAAAATACTGAAGATTAATATCGAGAGAAATATTTTAATTTCGGAAAAAAAATCTCTAAGAACAAGGATTACAGAGCTTCATGTTTGCCATATATATATATACACGTAAAAAAATATTTCAGGACCCTGCGTTCTGAATGCCCGTCAAGGTGCGGCGATCTGAATTCCTATTTCTACATCGACCTTTGCATGTTGTTGACACTGAATACGCTCTTTGCCCAAAATGCCTTTTTTTTTTTTATACATCATTACGCTATTTGACAAAACAGGT